ATTTTATTGGATACATATACACTTAATTAGATACACTGATTAAAAAATTAGATACATACAATTTTAACTCAATAATGTATCAGATAGATGGTAAATCTCTAATACATGAGTATATTATTCAAATATACTTAATTAAATACACTGACACAAATATAGATACATATAATCTTAACTTTATAATGTGACGAAATACATCAATAATATGCCAGATACATCAATAATTTCAATTGATCCAAAAAGCCGCTTTCTTATCGTATTCCTCGTTAAGATTTATTTGCCTTTTCAAGCAACAATAAATAAACATTCTTCTCATTTGAAAAATTACTAGCCATGAAAGAAAACTCTAAATCAAAGAAATCTTACTTTAACTTTTAAAAGCTAGAAGACAAAACATATTAAAATTTATCACGGATGCATGATTTTGAAAAAGATTAAACAAAGTTCAAATTGTTGTTTTGTTGTTTCAGATTTCAATTTAAAGGTTTAATGGTGAAATTTACGGTGAATAAAAAGAGAGAGAGAAAGAGAGAGAGCGAGCATTGATTAACATGAAAACTTGAATGGTGAATGATTTAATTGTGTAGATAACTAATTTCAAGGGATATGAGTATCTCATGGTATCTTCAATAACATATGATATAAAATATTAAAAGTGATAATATATGTAATTGTTTGAACCTAATAACATAAAAATATTAGAATTTATCAAGTTTCAAATCATGGGTCCACCTCAAACACTATCTCCAACCCAAATTACTATTTTTATCTCCCAATCTATGTACTTGGAGAAAACCAAAAACCAATCCATAACTCTATTTTTCGGAGTCCTGAAACAAAAGAGCAAAAAAATAAATGAAATTTCCAAAAGGGCAACACAAAAATAAGTTTGAAAGCAAAAGAACAACATTTAGACAAAAGGATGACGCCATGAAAATTAATGAATGAAGGCACAGTGCCCCATGCGCCTTGCAAGGTGCAAGAAGATCTGCTACTTGTAATTCGTGGGTCAACTTGTGTCTTGTAAGGCACATGTGACCATGGGCCTTACTTGTTAGTATTTTTTAAAAAAAATTATTCACTTTAGAAAAAAATGTTTAGTCTTTAGTAGTGTGAAAATTATTCAAGTTTAAGTTTGGAGCTTATTAATTAGTATTATTACTACTATTATCGACTATATTATGTTTGAAATTATCGGTTATTTCATTTGAATTTTCTATATAATTAATTAATGAGGATGAAAAATCATATACCCTCGAAAGTAATTTCTGAAGAAAACTAACCGATCAAAGTATAAATTAAATTTTGTCTAGTAGTCAAATCTATGGATTTAACATTTCTTTTAGAAGAATGGATGTACTATCAACAACCATACCGAACATAACTTTTTTATATCCTGCATAATTGTTGTTTCACCAGTTTACATATGAAAGGTATGAGTTTCTGACCGTTACCTTTCAATGAAAGCAATAATAGTGTCTGCATCACACATATAATAACCGTAACAATTATATTAATAAGTTTCAAACTTAAACCTGAATAATTTTCACACAACTAAAGACTAATATTTCTTTTCTAGTTACCAAAACATTTTTTTAAGTGACTAATTTTTTTTTATAATATTGACCAGTAAGGCGTAGGTCTCATGTGCCTTATAAGCCACAGGTTGACCTGCGACTTACAAGTAGCAGGTCTCCTTGCGCCTTTTAAGGCGCATGGGACACTATGCCTGCCTCCATTAATTTTTATGGCATCATCCTTCCGTATAAATGTTACCCTTTTAGTTTCAATCTATTTTTTGTTGCCCGTTTAAAAAGTTTACTCATTTTTTTTCCTTTCGACTCCAGCTCCCTGCTTTCACTTTAAGAAAGAATCTTTTATATTATATTATTATTTTTATTTCATTTCTATTTTCTTATTTAAAAAGTAAATCATCTCTTTTTATTTTACATAAAAAAAAATCCTATGTAATTCATATCATTTTCAAAATCCTTATGTAATATAAAGGGAAAAGGTAATATCCTTCGATTTTTATTTATTAATTGACTTTACCTTACCATTAATATGAAATTATTTATACCTTCGAACTTGTCATTTGTTTTCCTCAGTTGGTTGAAAAATCTCAAATCAATAAAAATAACTCAATTGTAATTAAATTATCCGACTTCTTCTTTTAATCTGAACCCGATTCACTAACCTAAATAAATTCTCACCAAATTAAATCCTCAAATTCATCTCTATTCTTCATCTTCTGAAATTGCTATATAAATTATAATCACTACGTGACGTGTTACTTTCATCTTTTGAATCCTTTACCATCTCTTCTATTTTGACTTTCCATTTGCGGATTTTCATAGAGATATTGTCAATTCCTTATCGCTAGGTTATTGTTGTTTCTCTAACTATCTAATTACTGGCGATTAGACTCCAAAATACTCTTTATGTTTGATTTTTGTAATTCATAACTTTAGCAATTTAGAAATTCGCACAACTTAATTATTTAATGCATGAATCCACTAAACAATTAAATTGGAAGGAGAGTGCTTTGTGTGGAGAGGAGACTTGTTTGGGTAAAAAAAAAATATTTTTGGGAGTAAAGGAAGGAGATGAAGAAGATTTGATAGATAAGTTTGAGGATTTAATTTGGTATGAATTTAGTTGGTTTAGTAGATCGGATTTGGGTTAAAAGAAGAAATTGAGTTAAGTTTGCAAGCAGCGAGAGTATAAATAACTCCATGGAAATGAAAGTTGAGGGGTAATTTTTGACCATTTTTCCTAATACAAAATTATTATATTTACCCCTAATATTTAAATAACATAAGTTGCATACAAATATTATATATTATACATCTTAATGGACAATAATAAAATCATTGATGAAATATAATTAAATAAATACTACATCATAGTAAAATTTATTTTAACTTTCACGTAAATATTCAAGTTTCAAGATCATTATGTTATTCCCATAAGTGCTCTATCAATGCATTACGAAGTTCAAATTAGCATTTTTATTCTTAATATTTTGTATGTCTATCTAAAATTATTCAAATCGATAATTTCATCTATCACCATTTTTGTAGCTAGAGTTGAAGCTTTCGACGTTTCTTAAATTGATGCATTAAGATTGAGCTCATTCTTGATTATCATATTACCATGATTATTTTGTGCAATATAATATATCCAATAATTATATCATGTATTTTTTTTCCCAAAAATGTGACAGAAATGTCAGAACTCACAACACTCAAAAAAATTATAATTAAAATATTTACCAAAGTTGTTCTAAATGAAAAGGGGTTTGTAATTTATTACTCATTTTAAGCAAGTACTTTTCATTTTTGTGTTGTTTTTTTTTAAAATAAATTTTAGAAATAACAAAGACATAAGTTATATTAGAACACTATAGCTATATTTTTGTTATTTGCGCTTCATAGCCAAATTATCTTTGTTATGGAGCATTTTATTTGTATAAATCGTGGTGATTTGTATAAATCAAACATCTATGTCTATGAAAATTGTATATGTTTATATATATGTTTTTAGTATTAGGCTAGAGTGACGAACAAGAGAGAGAGCAGAGAGTGGAGAGAGGTGAATTTATATGTAAATCAGTTAGATAGTTGTATAGATATAACTATTATGTATATGTATCAATGAATGTGCTTCTATATCTGCATAAAATTTGAATTCGTATACAATTAAATCGATTTGTAACATTTCTATTTGTATATCAAATCTCTCTCTCGCTCTATACAAACACAATTATATATTTATTTGTATAATTTGTGTTTGTATAAAGTGAGAAGCGAGAGAGAGATGACTGAAAAAGAGGAGAGTGACGAGCGAGATTCCCTATAGAGACGAATGACACAAAATTTGTGCGAATTGGAATTAAATGAATCTGTTTCTATAACATTTATTTTGAATTAATAGTTTGTTATACTGCACAATTTCCCCCTTTTTATTATACTATTATAAATTGTAATAAAACTAACATATATCTCAAATAAAAATTAATTCCTCAAAAATTAATTTACAAAAAAATAAAAATATAATAAAGATATTACATTACAAAATAATTACGAACAATAGAGACTTAATTAAGGGCCTTATATGATTTATAATATGTTAAATAAAAAATGTGATAAAGAGAAAAGACATAAAGTCAATCATTCAAGTTGTCATTTTTAGAAAGACACTTTAAATTTATGGATATCTTATTACCCCACAAAAGTGCTCCCTCTGTCCCTATTTACTTGTCCATATTTCCTTTTATATATGTCCCTATTTACTTGTCCATTTTAACAAATCAAGAAAGAACAACAATTTTTTTCCTAATATGCCCTTATTTAATTTTAGAAAATTTCTAGTAACAACTAAGTTGTAATGCATGTTTTTTGGAACAAGAAAATACATTTATTATATTTGAAAAGTTGCATAATCTTTTAAGTTAAGGGTAGAATTGTAATTAACCTATGATAATCATTGATGTCTTAATATGTGTGTCAGATCTAAAGTGGACAACTAAATAGGGACCGAGAAAATATTGAATATCTTATTAAAAGGACCATTTTGACTCATTTGCTCACTTGATTAGTGAACACGCACAACTAACGCATGAATTTTTTTTTGTGTGTGCGCTTAAAACCAATTAAAAGGCGTCATGTTTAAGTTCTTTTATTTGTTTAAATTCATCTTCTTCGTCAAAACAAAACAAGCTCTAAAGAGCCATTAGAACTCTCTCTAATGAATTCATCATCTTCCTAAAAAACTATTCACTTTTAATTTCTAGTTGGAAAAACTTAATTTGAAATTGTTCATATTTAATTTCTTCTTAATTTCATTTAGGTTTGAGAAATAAGATATTTTTGTGATAAGGTTCAATTTTCTTCTTGAAGATATGATTTTTTTCAAATAGTATAAGAAATTAACTTGTTAACCTTTGATTCCTTGTTTACTCAGCTATTCCTCCAAAAATTTTGACCAAGAATCATAAAAAATGAAGCAGATGATCTCCATTCCACTATCACTTTACTAAGAAATCGAATAGACATGAAAAACTGATAAATAAAAAAGAAAAAAAAACATTTAATACCGGTGATACTCATGATCACAAATGAGGTGAGAAAATGGGTTAAATGGATCCTTTTACAAAGACATTCAATAATTTTTCAAAGTATTCACCCCTTCAAATATAGAGTCTAGAGGAAAAAATAGAAATAGGTTTGGAGTTGCCCCTCCAAATTATTTTGAAGGGTTTTCTATGAAAATTACTTTCCCACACGAAGTTTGTGAATAAGTGATTTTCTGATAATTAGCAAGGAATATCCGTCTTTATGCTAATATTTGATGGGGGTGCGCGGTGGTTAGATATAGGGGAGGCTTCGCCGACTTGGATTGGAAGGAAGTCCCATTAATCGATCATAATGGTATCGTGGAAATGCTGCACCGACCCATATATATAGGAACATAAAAAGAATCACCTTGATACTAAACCAGATCGGTGATTCAATCGACCTCCCTTCATTGGCTCGGCAGTGCCAAACATAATTTTTAAAAAATAGTAATTTTTCATTTCGTGTTCTATGTACAAACTTAATGTTATAGAATCATTACCCCCAGAGAGCAAAGAGTTCAGCATTTAGAACCAAAAAACCTATTCACAACATAAAAAAGAAATGAGTGGGAGGAAAACTATATTCAAAATCTTACTTTGTATCAAGCAACCTCAATGCCATCATTCATCAACACTCAGCCAGTCGCTGGGCTCTTTGTTATCAGCGGTATGGACGTTTATGTGGTGGATCGAAAAAAGTTGGCATTTTTGACAAGTTGGTGGAGCTTTTCTCTCCTTAACACAATCTTGAGAGTCTTTATCAAAACTGTAATTTACTTTCTAGACATTTTCAGGCACGTCCATGTCGTCCTCTTCAAGATCACTAAATGATACATCCTCCTCATTGTCAATCGGAATGGTGGTCTTACTAACACCTACAAATTCTGTGCCTTCTTCCTTTAACCAATCATCACCATCATCTCCGTCACTCTCTTGTAACTTAATAGTGGAAACAGATTGTGGTTTTTCAACATTCTTATGGGTAGCAAGTCCTCCTTCAACCACAGATTTGTCAACAATTTGGATTTCACTGCTAATCGCAGGCTGCTTTTCAACATTCTTATGGGTAGCAACTCCACCTTCAACAACTGGTTTGTCAATAATTTGGATTTCACTGCTAACGACAGGCTGCTTTTCAACATTACTATGGGTAATAAGTCCTCCTTCAACCACTGGTTTGTCAACAATTTGGATTTCACGGCTAATCACAGGCTGCTTTTCGACATTACTATGGGTAATAAGTCCTCCTTCAACCACTGGTTTGTCAACAATTTGGATTTCATGGCTAATAACAGGTTGCTTTTCAACATTACCATGGGTAACAAGTTCTCCTTCAACCACTGGTTTGTCAACAACTTGGCTTTCACTACTAAGGACAGGCTGCTTCTCGGTAGCAGGGACAGGTACTGCAGTAAAAGTGCTCGATTCCACACTAGACATCTCATGAACCACATCTGCAGAAAGCGCAGTGGACGGCACTGAGACAATCTCTTCATGCCGAGAGTTATTTCTGTCATTTGATTCAGAAGTCCTCTTCACTGGCCAGTCTTCTTCTATTGGCTTAGTTCGCTTATGCAACTCTTGTGCCAATGAGGCCCTGGCTTTGAGAACCTGCACAAAAATAGCATTTGCAATTCTAGTGATTAAGTCACTCGTTCTCACATAAAATGAAGGAAACAAGCATCGGTTTATGCAAAAAATAGCTAAAAGCAGGAAGAAGGCAACTATATATTATACAAGCTGGAATGATGCAAGTCAACTGGACAAGTTGCATCTACGTAACACAGTTACTATCAAAGCCCAACATATCACTCTAGTTCAGCATGAATTAAAATAGTCACCCCTAGTGTTTGTTGGATGAGTTTATGCCTTCCTTTCCTCAGATCATCCTTGTCCAGAAAAGTGGGAGTACTTTTATATGGAAGGCAAAAGCACAGCATGACCCCTTGAGTAAATCAGGAGAGAATTGGGATAAATGGCTAGTACTACTAGAAGGATTCCTCTTTGGGTAATAAGTATTGTAACTGGTATTTTCTTATAATTGGTTTAATCGGAATTTTATTTTATGTACATATTACGAATTGGATTCATCCCTGTAGTAATGAATGAATTGAGTTGTCAACGTGAAAGCTTTAAGAATTCAATGGAACTCCCTTCTTTGTCTATTTGATTTGAAGGGCAAGGACCCATGAGTTCAAAGGCTGAGCTATGTAGGATACGCTTTTGGATGCCCAGAGGGCATCAAGAAGCAAAAGGCAAGTCAGGAAGGCTCACCAAAAGCAAAACTGATCAAATAATGAAAAGGCTAAATCATGAAATATCTAACTTCCATGGGTAGGAGGGGTCCTTGTGGAGTGGGGTGAGAGAGTTCGGATGGAACTATGGAATGAGAAGAATGTTCGACACTCTCTGATGAATGACCTACACAATTTTCAGTAAATATGTGAAGCTGTAAGGAAGTAGTAACACATGAAAAATGGGATAAATCCCCCCCAATCAAAGCTAAAGAAGTGGTCTTCTTCCTCTTGAATTGGTTGTTAACAATGTACCTAAATATGCTAAGTACAATAAGGTAACAACTTATGTTCTAAGTACTTCTCCTTTACTTACGTAGGGAAGTTAAAGAATTTTTTAAATACAATTCTGATGCTTAAAATCAACAAATCTAGGCTTGTTGTGAGTCTGAGCACATATAAACATACACAGTAATCCTTTTGATATTCAACAATTTGTATATACAAGCAGATCACATAACCTAAAGAATCCAAGCAAATATTGTAAGCACGACAACGAATCAGATTTAATTATTGAGCTTTAATACAGAAATCAAAACCAGCCAGCTGTAGCATGGACCCCGTTGATCTATTCATTTAAAGGAAAAAAAATATGTAGTTGTCAATTAGTGTTATCAGCAGAGTAATCAAAGCCAGTAAGAGAAGCATGGAGTATCATCAATTATATAAGCAGATGGTAGCAAATAACTACATCCAAGACAACAAAATGGGGTAATCATTATGAGTACATGAGACTAATACCTGTGGTGTTGACAAAAGCTTAGCATCTTGCTTATCCAGTCGAGGGTGAAGAAGTACAAAGTAGATCTCCCAAAAGCGCGCTTCATTCATGTAAATTGGACAGAGCTCAATTCTCAAAGCAGGTAATCTTGGGGCAAGTTGTTCAACAGCTAATGCATGCTCTTGCTGTGCATCAGACAAGTAGAAATCTACATCAAAAGGAAATTCATAAGATAAATGGGGTGAGCTGGACAGTTCGATACAAAGGATACATAGTACAATAATAATTATGCTGGGAGCATAACAAACCTACCAACTGTTATTGTTCGTTTTCCTTATTTTATAAATACACCTACTAAATGTTACTAGAATTGGAATCTTAAAAAGTTCAGAGGTCCTGGAATCAAACAGTTGAACAGAATGGTTGATAAAAGCTATTACGGTGTTCCTCTATTTAGTAATAAATATAAAAGAGTTTGAATTAGTGTAGACGTGTATAAACTTAAGTCTCATAAAATAATTCAAGACAAAGATAGATCAGTCTATACTGTGATTTTTAAATTAACGTTTACAACAATAGTTTGAAATGTTGTCGAATTCAGGAATTGGTAGAGAAAATGCCACATCAAATTTAAAAGACAAGAAATAGCATAATTAATACTATTAGAGGGAAAACCATTTCTTGGTCAGGACAAACTAGATTTTAATATACAACAACATACCAAGTGTAACCCCACAGTAAGGTCTAGGGAGGGTAGTGTGTAAGCCAACCTCACCCCTACCTTGTGCAGGTATATAGGCCAGAGAAAAATGAGACAGAAGTATTGTGCATGTGTTATTCTTAAAAGTAGAATTTCTAATTATTCTTAAGGTACTTATAAGTGGAATCATTAGTATAACAGCTGCATAGTAAGAAAGTATTATAAAAAGGAGTAATAAAATAGGCAAAAGTGATAGGCTCACAAGAACCTATGTTGCACAGACTCTTTAGAAATGCTTTCTGGGTGCGTGTTAGATCCTCCAAAAACATTGCATTTTGAAGGATCCGGCACAAGTGTGGTGGCAATTTTGGAGCGTCCGGGCAACATAGACAAGGACTGCAAGATCTTACTTCAAATCCTAAATGAACCTATGTGACTATATAAAATCATATCTCTTTTTAGCCCTGTTAATGATTTGGATGGATCTTATGAATTTGCACAATCTTATGATCCAAATATGATTTTGACAAGAAGGCACCTATTCATCCATAAAATTAGCATACATGTGCCATGTGACGGCAAATAACAATCTAAAAGCTAAAAAGATTTCATACTTATATGGCTGTTATATCCATATTAAACACTTGTTAACACAAACAAAAGGCATTTCAACAAGCAATTGGCAAAACTTCCTACTCTTTCAACTGTTTGATTTCACATACAAAAGATAATTCTCATGTTACAATTACTTTCTTTGGTCCTATGGAGTGTGGAGTATAAGAGACTTCGGTTAGCACAGAATCTTACAAACTTTGAAGCATTGATCCAAACAAAGCTTTGAGGTACTTTGCTACCATATCTTTGTTAACAACAACTACACAGTGTAATCCCGTACTTAGCCTTACCCCTACCTTGTGTAGGTAGAGAGGAGCTATCATGTCTTTATCCTGATGTATATTGAATTGTCTTGGAATGACCTTGTTAAACAGATATGACAACCCTATTAACCTGATGGTTGAAGCTTTCTTAGTATATTAAGGTTTATTACTTACTATTTCACTTATAGGTCAGAACATACTGGTCCACTAGATAACATGTTTTAACTTGCTGTCTTTGCTATAATGCTCACTGCTCAGTTCAGTCTTAACTAGGATGACTGGTACATATATCCTCTAAAATTCAACTTTATTTTAAACAGTACTCATTATTAAGCAAGAGGTTAAATGGTTAACTCAAAAAAGCCTAATCATCATTTCTGAATCCGTCGTAAACACCCCATCCCCAAAAAATATTTGATATACCTCCATTTATTTTGTTCTTAAAGTTCCATACAGTAATACCACACTAAGATTGTATATACCAGTAAGCAAGAAGGAAATCATTCTTTCTGATACTCAGCAGTCAGTTTTTTTACTTTCATGCGGCCAAACAGAACAACAACAAATAATACTCTATGGTACATAGTATATTTTCTTTGGAAAACCAAATTTACGCGTAAAACAAATCTGCTACCTCTACCTACTTCAGCATTACTGATTACAATCTGAGTATCATGATAGTAGTTGCTTTAATAGAGATATAGTAGTTTCAGACACCCAACAGTGTGGCCTAGTGGACAATGAAGTGGACTGAGAACCATGATCATCTGTCCAAGCCTTGGTGGACAATATTACCAACTACCTGTGTCGGTGGGAGGTAGCAGAAAAATAGAGATAGCAGTTTTAGAACCCTCTGAAACCTGCATTAATCAATTTACAAGTGAATAAAGATTTTTGTTTACAAGTAGTACATCTACACTCTGTTATTAAAGATTTCTTTTACATAAATTCCTATTCAGCTTGGAAGTTCATCTGTTGAGCTTGAAGAGTTGCACCTATCCAAATTCACTACTGATCTAAATAGTTTACTTTCGGGACAAATTATTCTTGTATCCAAGCAATATTACTTGTGATACCAAAGCAGCCTCTTAACATAAAACATCTGGGCCTAACTGAACCCCAAAGGATTGGTCAAGTCCATATAAGCAAATCACTAGTTTAATTTCTAACTAATGTCGGACTCTAACACCTCCTTCACACCCAAGCTCAACTAGAGCTTTAACCGAGAGGCCAACAATGTATGAACCTAAATATATGACACACGAACCTAACTCAACCCAAAAGTTAGCTCATGAAGGGAAGGATTGTGCACGTTCATATAAGCAAACCACCAAGTTCATTTCCCAACAAATGTGTGACTCTAACCCACTCTAATGAAGCCAAATCAGATCAATGCTCTCATAATCAATAACTAATTGGAAGCATTTCAACTAATTCAGAATAAATGGAACACATAAAAGAAAATGAAAAATTAAAAACACCTTCAACATCTTCATTTTCAGGCAAAGGGAAATCCAACCAAGTTTCAGGATGCATCGAAATGTCCCTAACGAAAGCCACTACTTCTTCCGTAACACCGACAACACCTTTCTCCATATCATAGCTTTCCTCCTCTTCCGGTCCCAACTGCAGTAAATTCGAAGCCATTTTAGTAATTTCTGACACCGCCATATTACTCGACAGTGAAGATATTCCGCTCCTGAACTTCCCACCGATTTCAGCAAAGTCAGTCTGCAAACCTACAATCCCCGCCGCCGGGTCGGATTCCTCCTCATGAAGATCCGATTTGGAGTTATCAATAGGCTTATATGAATCGGATTGTGGCGGTGGAGCTAGAAATGATGCGACTCCCCAAAATTGACTGGTTAGTGTTTTAGTTAGCTCCGAGAGATCCTCTTTGACGCCACGTGAAGGCGATGTCGGTGAAGATGAATCCTCTGTCTGTTGATGATTTTCCGGTTTTGGATTGTCAGTGGAGTGATCTGGATTAGGAGGTGGAACGACGACGTTTGTGTCGTCGTCCAGATTCAGGGTGTTGGCGATTGATCGAGCCAACCATGACATTGTTAGTCAGATCACGGAGAGGTGATCGGAGTTTACAGATCGCCGGCGATGCGTAATTTAACGGTTGTGATTAACTGTACAAATGTTAGCTGCCGAATTGAAAAAAAAATAGAAAATAAGCAAAGTACGTATAACTAACTTTGTTGTTCTGAAGTATCTGCATGGGTAGTCGTTATTTTTTGGAATTAAATAGTAAAATAATACTCCTTTTGTCCGATATTATTTTTCATGATTTCTATGTTTAAAAATTAAATTAGAAAAAATTTAATTAACATTTTAAGATATATATTTTTATCATATTAATATGTAAAAATTGCAATTTATAGTACTTTTCATATAATTTTAGAATATCTAATTTTTTTATTTAAAAATTAATTAAATTGACTTTTGAAAAGCACAACATAACAAATAATTCTGGACGGAGAGAGTAATAATAATGTTTTAGTCATTATTTTTTTCAGGAGTTTTTGTTTTATCTCAATTATTTAATTATTGGAGTATTAAAAACTAAAAACAGATCAGTTGATAGTTATTTGAATATTATTTTCATTAAAAAATAGTGTAGTTTGACTCAATATGCATGTAAGTTTTGATACTAATTAAAGAAGTGATATTATATATTTTAGATAAATAAATAAAATAATGAATAGTAAAGATATGTTATTCATGATAAAATAATATTCTTTTTGTTTCAAGTGACATTTTTTGGTTTTTTTGACAGTTCAACAAATTAACTTTGATTGATAATTTGCATATGAAATTTTTAATTTTTTAAAATGAAATTTATATTATTTATGTAAAAAATATTATAAATCACAATAATTAAAAACTTAAAATGTCTAAAAAAAATCTGAAAAATTTACGATCAAAATAAGTTTGTTTGAATCTTGAAATTTGAAAAGTGTTACGAGAATTGAGACGAACGAAGTAATCTGGATATTTAACTCTTCTTTTTTAATTTGATTGTAAAGGTCGAATATGAAATTTCATGCATGTAAATTCTTCGAGATTTAATTCAAATTTACTCCTCAACTTTTTAAATCCTAAAACTTTAATAAATACATTATAGTTTAGTAATCTAAGAGATTAAGTAGTCGTTTGGTACGGGTATAAAAATAACATTAAATAGAGTGTGTTAGTAGTGTTTGCATTAGTAATGTATTAATTATACACAAATTATTTCTTATATATTGTTTGGTTTGATATATTAAAAATAGCATACATTGCATTAAAATATTTATTTACAAAAATATCTATCACAATTATCGTGGAAAAGATATAAAAGAAGTTTTGAGGTATAATTGAGTCTTTAACCATACAAATGCACGTATAAAAACCCTTTGCAGCAGTGATACCTAGAAATCTATGATTTTAAAATATACTCCTCAATAAACTATAGCGTGTATAGCTAATATTAGCAATAATTATACATAGCGTGAAAAAGAGTACTATACAAGGTACTACTAATACACAAATTCTAATATATACATTATTTTTCTAATACATTCTATCAAACGACCCCTAACACTAATACCTCAACTCGACAATTAACTCTAATTGTTCTGACAACTCTCCTAACAAGATAAACTCTCTTCTGGTTACAAGCCTTATAAGGTCACATCTTTAACGATGCTTGGAATTATTACAACTCTGTAATGATCATATTACAAACTCAATAAAGACTAATAACTCTAGCCTTTAACTACCCAAACATCACACAAAATAACTCATCAATTTACTCCAATGGATGAACTCAATAAAGACTAAAAACACTGGTCTTTAACTGATCAAACTTTGATATTGAATAGGTTGATTTCGCTCTAATAACTATTGCTCTTTAAGATAATAAATTTCGTGAATATGTAATATTTACGATTCTCAATGGCCTTCATGTCATATATATACTGAAAATTTGTAATGCCCAAATATTATCACTAACAAGAACTTCACTTCAAATAGAACTTCCAAAACTCAATATAAGCTTAATCACTTACATGCCCCTTTCTTATAATTAAATGTCACCATCAAACTAATTACCATGCAACATGCATATATATTTCATGAGAATTTGTTGCAATAAACGAAATTCTAACAATAGATAAAGTAGTACTCCACTAATTGACATTTATATCAACATTTAGCTTTCTAATTACATATTTATTTCTATGTAAAATGAAGTTGAATAAGGGTGAGAAAGAAAGCAAAATAATGAGATGCATCAAAGCACCAATTACTTGAGTTGTTATTAAGGTCAAGAATTTTTACATGAGAAAGCTATGGGATAATTACTCTGAAAATGTTGTCTATTGGGCTGTTCTGCCACTCCACAATTGTCTTCTTGGCCTAACAAAACTTTTAGTGGCAATGAATTGGATTTCACAAGGACAACTAATCTTGAAAATATGGTAGAATTAGAGCATCTCAATCAAGCTATAAGTAGGGTGCTTGTGGTTCCTATGCGAGAAATGCAAACTTGAAGCATGTCAAGTTTATTGTCTGTACAAAATGAACTCTTTTTCGAAAATATTCTTTCCGTTTTTTTAAATAAGTGATGGTTTTTTTTTTTTTCATTTTGATTCAAAATAAGTGATGTTTCAGATAATTAAGAAGATATTAATTTTTTCTTTCAGATTTACTCTTATATAGATACGTGAATTTTTATGTAAGCTTTTATCCATTGACGATTTTCTTAACTGTATCCTGCGCATATTCTCAACTGGATTAATCACTTTATTCTTATTTATTGAACATGTGCTTTGAGGAACATGTTTTTATAAAGTTCACTCTTTATTCCATATATTTGATTTTTTTTCTTATTGAATTAAGATAAGAAGGCATCTCAGAAGAAGGAAATATATTAGAATAGGACTGATTCGATTCATCTATGTCAGTTTGAAGTAAGATAAGTCGTTCGTGTAATAAATTATTTCAAATAAATATTATTTTGGTCCTTAAACTATGTGAAAGGAACAAAATGTCTTTCGTTTATAATTCGACATATAATATGTCATATATATATAAGATCATAGTGCATGCATCATTAATTTATATTTATATAACGATAAAAACAATTACAATAAAATAAGAAATATTTAATTGAAGTAAGATAAACATTTGCTAATTTTAAAAAGTATTATTAGGAAAAAATGGTGTTAAAAATAAAATAAACAAATAATTATTCAAAAAATACGTATTTCTGACCCATTAAATAACCATTAGAGCCTTTTTGGATCAAAATATTAACGATAAAAGCATTTTTGAATCAAATTAGATATTCTATTCCTTTCGCATAGTTTAAAAACAGTTTTGACCCTTTTCCCTTTAGTTAAGGATAACTATTAACTTATGGTCTATTCATCAACAAATTGTAAGGAAAAAAAGATATTCATATTTAAAAGAATTACATTTATCAAATGATCAAAATTACAATCATCCATATCAACAAAATTTCTTACAACACAATAACCCCACCCCCACCCCCTTCCACACACACCCCACCCCACTTCAAACTAGCCATAACTCAACTATTAGATGGATAGTCAAAAGGCAAGGGTCTTACAGATGAAGAATCAAGTAAATTATTATGAACAAAACCATACTTCCTCAGAACTTGATTATCTGCAAAATTTAATGCCTTTTGCATTGCATTATAACAAGTTTCCCAAGAATATATTGGATTATAATCCCCACTACAAGGTTCACAACCAGTGAAATGTGTAACAAATGGTCTCCTAATTGAATAACTATCCTTAATTAAGTACTCTTCCCAAACCTTAATCTCACTTACTACCTTCTCAGCATGTCTCCTCCTTAAAATAGGTATTTTTTTCTCTATCTCAAAGTATTTATTTGTAATATTATCAAGTGTATCTATAATATCCACCCAATAACCTTGGAAATAATATTCACTTTCTATGTATATTTTGTCACCCCATTTGTCTTTTTCTTTTAATAGTAAATATGATAGACCTGATTGATCATCTGATTGTGGAAAATTTTTGTCCTTAAATGTTGTTCTTAAGATTTCACCCCATCTATTGTATTCTGGTGACTGTGGCCCCATTTTTGCCCAAGCTTCTATTAAGTCCATTGACCATTGACAATTCCTAATCAAGAACACTCCAGCATTGATACCTGTCCATAAAAGTAACACAATCAATTAGTCGTAATTTATGTGATATAGTTTAATTTGATACAGAAGTTATAAAAAAAGTAAGCCTTTTCAAATTTATGGTATACTCTTAATATTAAACAACTACATAGAGTAGTAGTCAAATTTAAATAATCTCAACATAACTAATATCAATATTATTAATGTCAGAGTTATTAATACACCCAGAGGCTAAGCTAGCAAGATGTGAATGGGATTCATATGAACGTCCTTCGATGAAAAATTTATCGTGTAAACATGAATATAATATCTTTTTATGTATATATAAAGTAGATGTTGAACTCTCGTTTAACCTCTTCGTGTGTTTACATTTTATAATTCGGACCTGCATTTTAGTAAATTTCTAGCTCCGCCCTAAATTAAATGATCTTTACAAGAGTGTGAAAAAAAAAATCTCTTAATTTGCTAACATTGATAAGTAAAAGATATTTTCATTTTTAATATAAAGACCAAGTAAAATGAAACGGAAAAAATACCTGTCCAACTTTTTTTCTCATAGATTAACTTTGGCCAACCATAAACCACAAAGTTATGGTTTTTGTATTTCTCCAAAGGTAACTTGAAGTCCATGTCAGTAAAGGCAGCATCAGAGTCCACCCACCAAATCCATTCTGCTTCTGGATGAGCTACCATTGCTGCTCTAATGGCTGGCAATTTTGCCCAAAAGAAGAACATTTTTGGTTCCAATAATACGTTATTGTAGAATATATCATATCCATGTATTCTACTATAATCTACCTGTAGCACAAATTCTAACAATTTTTTTAAAAAAAACATTTAAAAGAAGTCATCAAAGGTCTAAGAAAATATACATGCCATTGTCTAAAACTTCCCAAACTCCTTAAAGGGAAAAATATTCTAAATACGCATCTAATTCTATCATAACCTTTCTAAATACGTATCTGGATGTCTTGTCTGTTGATCGATGTATATCCAGATGTCCAATTCACTCTTTGATACATTCATCCCTCACATATGCATTGGAATGTCCTGTGATGTATCCGAAAGTCTATCAGTGGCGGATCTAGGATTTTAAGGTTGTGGGTGCTCGTAAAAAATATGTGTTAACAATGAGATTCGAACCTTGGTACAACAACACTAAAAGAGTTTTAAGTACTCATCCTAGAAACATTGGGCCAACTATATGATTTATTCATTGGATGCTCTATGTTAATTTTATACAAATATCTATCGATTTCTACGTAGATACATATTTTTTGTAACGAAACTAATGGGTACTCGAGCACCCGGCAGACGCCATGTGAGTCCGCCCCTGAAGTCTATTAATGTATTCGAAATTCATAAATTTTAAGAAATTTTTGTAATTTAAAACAAGAATAGTGAAATATTTTGATTTTAAAAAGAAATAGTGAAATAATGTAATAAAATCTTAACACAGTGAGATTTATGGATATTATATCTAATTGTTCTTAAATTAGCTAAACAATTGACTTACTCACAATTTCCATAAAGAGGAAATATAAAAAGAAATCCAATTCAACCCCCTTCCTCCCTCCCTCTTGCACATCCATTTCCATCTTATCCATCAAACTTGATGGGATAAATTACTCTAAAAATTATAATCTCAAGATAATTTAATCTGTCAACCAAACGATCCGCTATTGACTAAAATAAATAGAATGCATGAATAAAATTTAATCATCTTAACATGAGTATATATGTATACCTTGTTCTTGAAGAACCTCAGCAACAAATGATCACCAATGGGGTTTTTACAAGGCGTGGATTGTGAACCCGAAACGATTAAAACACGATCTTTTTCGCCTTCAAGCTTAAATGAAGGATGAAGATTGAACCATTGTCTTCGTTTGTCATCCCAATTTTGTATTGGCTTCTCTATAGTGTAGCTCAAATTTGGTTCATCATAGAAATTTGTTGATCCTTCTTGATCTAAATTGAAGTCCAAATTAATAGTAGAAAATTTTGGATACTTAGGGCTTATGAAAGACCATAAAGCCAAGATTATAGATAAAGTCACTAATGTTCCACCAACAAACATAAACACATTAGAGAAAAATGATGAAACTTTGGTCATTGAGTTATAAGGTGTATGATTATTGCTATCTTTGAAATTGATAAAGGTCGAGTTGGGGGTGTAGAAATGATGTCTTTTATATTTATATATATACATATCCCACCAAGGGAGGGAAGGGAGGATCAGAAGAAAATAGCATGTACGCAAATTTTATCTCTATTTCGTGAAGATAGAAAAAATATTTTGAAGTGGATGTATCTTATATACATCCGGATGGTAGAACATTTTTGAAGTGTTAGATCATTCAAATACTTCCTCTGATTTAATTTGTTTGGCTTACTTCAAAATATAATGTTCAAATATTCAATATATATGAATTTAGACATTGAATTTTGAAAAAAGTAAATAAATATGTAAAAACTATATAAAACATAGTCAATCACAATAACTAACAATATAAATGGAAGGTATCTGAAAAAATCATAATCAAAGTCAAAAATACCATTCACTAACTCATAATAATGTATTATTAAATCATTAAAATAAACTAGGATAATTTGTGTATGCATGGAACTTCGCCCTTTAAACTTTTGGCTTTAGTAGAAAATCATATTATTTTGATTATATTCCATTAATTAAACACACAACTAAAGCAGATTCCCTTCACTTTGCCAAAAGCAGAAAAGTAAATTAATATTAATCACTAAAGCTTAATTATAAGATGTCACGATTTAATTTATCTAAGGCACCATAACATCAACACTAAGTCGGTAGGAAAGTCAATTTTAGTTATAATCAAATTTACTACGTACCAAAGATTATTGAAAAATTCCCTAATCAATTATTGGGTTTTAGTGCTTACTTTTTCCTTTAACAGATGCCAGCATGAAAATTGAAAAATAACCCTTTATCTCTAGGCTTTTGCAAAAAAAAAAAATATATATTCCATTAATTAAACACAAAATTAAAGCAGATACCCTTCACTTTGGCCAAAGCAGAACACTTTAATTATTTGGGCAAGTTACTTACATTTGGCTAGTCGATTAAAAATAATAATATTTGCTAATTATATATAAAAAGGGCAAAGGATATAAATCACATATTTTTATAATTACAAAAATCACTCAAACTGATACAATAATATAAGTGTTGATACATTAATCTGATGCATCAGATACATTAATGGTTAAGTTAAATACATTACATTCTATACATGATACACTAATTTGATGTACATTTTATACATGATACTAATCTGATGCGCGAGATACATTAATTTGATGCGCTAATATATTAATCTGATGCGCGAAAATGAGAATTTTAGAAATTTGTAAAACTAATAAGAGATAATGATAATTAATAAACTTAAAAGTGAGATTTCTATCTTTTTTCTTAAATTTAATGGATGGTTATGTATTTCAATTTTTCTAGTTATCATTAGTCTAAGAAGCATGACTTTGTAGGCTCCCCTTTACTTATTGCTTACATTATAATTAAACAAACAATCATTTTGCATAAGAAAAGAAGTGCAAAATTTTTATTAAAATAAATAAGGAAAGATAAATTGTTTGTTTAATAGTAAAAATATTTTATATCTTGAATTAAACTATTCAAATCTTGATATTAGATAATAAAAAAAAATTATGGAATAAAATCTAAGGTAATGTATTACATACACATGGCTAACTTGCTAATTTGAAATAACCTTAATAACATTGCTGTAGAGTTTTGTTTTAAACTTACAACTATATTTTTATACATTATTACACAATACCCACGGTAAGTGTGTATGGATAAAAAAAATTGGAACCTCTTTCTAAAAGTTTATGTGCGTTTGGAATGTACGAAAATATTTTTTCGAGTTCGTCAACTTTCTTATGTATGATTGGATTAAGACTTTTGAAAAATATTTTTTCAAATCAATTCATTTTCTTCAAATTTAAGGAAAATGACTTCCATTTAAAATTTAAAGAACATTTTCTAAAATTCTCTTCCAACTTCAAATTACAATAATTTTTATTATTTTATCCCCTATGCCATGCCCTTGCGCTCCAAAATCAGCCCTCCACTTTGTTCAAAAAAAAATTAAGTTTGTTTTTAAACAATATAAAAAATTTAAGTTTGTTATTTTGAAAAATATTTCCAACTTCAAAATTTTATTTTTTTCCCTACCCTCGACGCCCTCTACCAGCCCTAGAAAAGAATTTAAGTTTGTTTTTGAAAAATATTTTCAACTTTCAAATTCTATTTTTTCACCCTTATCCTCGTCTCTCTCATCCACCTATCCATCCCCTATGAAGGGGCGGAGCTTCAGCTGTCGAAGGATGGTCATGTCGTCATGACCCTTTGCCGAAAAATTACATGATCTAAAGAGGTCAAATTCTGAATTTAAGGAAGAAATAATTAATATTGAACAATATTGACATAAAAATCTTCCATGACACAGTGAAAACTTATTCATATTCACCCTTCCAAGTTTGAATCCACGGAGAGCACTAATGATATATAGTAACATATATGAATAAATTATTTTAATTTTGAATATTAAAAATCATGTATTTTTAATTTTTATGTAGAATATAATGCAATTTCTAATGGTGAAAATAAAAAAGCTAACATTTAAGATTGTACATTAAAAATTTGTGTTTACATATGTTAACAACTTTAAACCCAAAACTAAAACCAATACATGCATCTGATCTTCTTCTTTTTAGAGAGTGTGATTTCTGTTTTGTAAAGCTAGACACATTTGTTCTATCAATATTTCACTTTAAAAATAATAATCATATATTTTTATCATATAAAATCAATGCATCAAAAAAAAAAAAAACTTGATTATTTATATTTGATACTAGCTAATTTTAAGATCGTTCATGGTAGAATTACTAGGTTGAATAATTAAGTTTCAACTCATTTATTAAAAAAAAGTTCTTGAATATCCTTGATGAAAATTTTCTACTCTACTAAAAATAAGAGATATTTCTCAAAAATATTTTTCATTCATAAATCAAACACTAAAAAAAATTTTCGAAAAATATTTTCTACTCATAAACCAAACATAAGAAAATAAGTCAAATGTCTACTTGTCTTCCATGAAAACATTTTCTAACAAAACATTTCACATGGAAAACATTTTCCTTCGTACCAAACAAACCCTTAGTTTTAGCTTTCTAATTTTATTGAGTTGATAATCATTGAATAAGTTTTTTTGATCAAATTAATACTTGATAATTATACAGACTTCATTAAGTGAATCAAAAGATCGAGTCCGAAACTTAAAGGGTACAAATTATTAACAAAAATTTTAAAACGTCATATAAAATTTTATATTAATCAAAACGGTAAAATCGCTGCAGGTGCAGCGACTTACCTCACCTGAAAAAGTAAAATCGCTGCTGAGGCAGCGATTGTGCAAACTTTTTTTAATAAAAAAACGAAATCGCTGCCCAAGCAGTGATTTCAAAATTTTGCTTCTTACAAATCGCTGTCTTGGCAGCGATTTCATATTATTTTTTAATTTTTTTTTAAAATAAGGTATATCGCTGCCAGTGCAGCGGTTTATAAAGTTTTTTTTTAAAAAAAAAAATCGCTGCCAATGCAGTGATTCATAAAAATAAAATAAAATTATGATATAAATCGCTGCCAGTGCAGCGATTTATAGAATAATTTTTTTTTTATAAATCGCTGCCCTGGCAGCGATTTAAATCATAATTTTTTTAATTAAATCGCTGCAGGAAGCCTTTTTTTTAAAAAAATGTTAAAACAACG